CTAAATTTTCTGAATGCATGTATGACAGCTAATGATTACATTACTGGTATACCAGTAAATTAGGAAAATTATATCCCAATAAATTTACCGGTAATTAAATTTTTTATTGGTATTTCGGTAGAAGAACCTCTTAATTAACCTAATATTTATTTTTTTTAAAAATTCATACTGAAAATATCTGTGAAAAGAAGATTTCCCTTTTCTCTCATCCCATACCATAGCAAGAAAACAGTGCAGGTAGTGATGGGTCATTCAATTTGTAATTTAAGGTTACTAAAAATAATTTTTTAGTCTGTTTATAACTTGATTCCCTGTATTATACTCCAAAAACGAGTCTTGTTTTTGCTTTCGAAATAACTGTGGTGCAAAAGTGTCTTGATTTAAAATAGTTCATAAATATGTGCTGACTGAAAACACGACTTACATAGTAAGTAATATTCTTTTCAGTTTCTTTACAAACATTATCAATGTTTGTCATAATGGAACAATAATCATAATTAAACTGGATTAAGTGCAAGACTCTAGAAGTATGTTTTTAACTTTGCATGTTTCTTGTTCATTGGAGTGTGCTTTAGTGATGCAAGAGTCAGATTTCGTAAAATTCATATATTGGAATCTTTATTGTGAGATTAATTGAAACAGAAACAAAAGAATGCATTAATAAAAATATAAAGATAGTTATAGATAAAAACAAAAAGATAAATAAAAATAGAAAATACCATTTACACTAATACAGTATGTTTCACGTTTATTGTCGTAATAAGTAAAAATTCATCATGGGATTACTTCAAATGCACAAGAGAAAGAGATGATGGAGTGTGCAAACTGTGCTTTGAAACAATCAAAGCAGTTGGAGGAAATACTAGTGGACTGCAAGTCACCTTGTACGATGTCATGATATAAACTTATTAAAAAGAAAATCTGAAGAGACAGCCAGAAACAGTCCACAAAGTGAATCTAATAAAAAAAAATAACAACGTTTTCAAGAAAGAAATTGAAAAGTCTTTGCTTGCAGTATTATCTCATATGGCTTCAGTTGACAGACTGCCATTCTTCAAATTTTGCACATCGAAAGACATAAGATGAACTTTTCTCTGCGAATATGCGAATCTATCTAAATCTCCTCATTCGATTAAAAAGTTGATCACTGAATTCGGAAAAAAATTCAGAATGAGATTATTAAAGATATATTGGAGCGAAAAGTTTGAGGAGAATCTTTCAGTATATCTTGTGATGAATGGACATCATGTAACAACCGTTGATATATGAATGTTAATCTCTATGCAAGTAACAAATTTTGGGATCTGGTTTGATTCGCCCACATGGATCTATGGGTGCTAAAAAATGTGTTGAACTTTTAAATGTCAGATTAAAACAATCAATGTTGATTATAACAACCTAACTTCAATTGTCACGGACGGAGCTGTAGTGATGAAAAAAGTGTCAAGATTAGTCAATGTAAACATCCAAGTGAGCATTACTCACAGCTTACACTTAGCAGTAGCGAAAGTTCTTTACAAAAAAGGCCATGTTAAAAACAGTACTGAACCCATACATTCGGAAATTAATGATGAAGATTCCAAAATCTCAGACAATGAATCTGATGATGGAGATTTGAAATGATACAGGAAAGCCCTGATGACATTAAGTTTCACAGGAATGTTTTCCAAGATAAAACTTTGAATCTTTTAATTAAGAAAATACAAAATGTAGTCAAAATTTTTCGAAAATCAACACTCAAAAATGACATTCTACAGAAGCATATTAAAGATGAATTAGGAAAAGAATTATCTCTACTATTAAACTCAAAAACATGTTGGAGCAGTATGTTGACCATGCTGGAATGTTTTTCAGAAGTCCAAAATTCTGTCAGAAAATGTCTTTGTGTTGCAAAAACACAAATTTGTATGTTGCAGATCTAATGTTAGAATTTCTGATAGAAGAACTATCAAAGCAGGATTTCTTTCTGTGTAACGAACTAAAAAAATAAATTATTTTTCATGTGAAAGAAAGAAGAACTATTTACTCTGATATTTTAATGTATCTGCATAATCCAGAAAAATTGAACAAATATAAGTCACAAGAAATATCCAATAATGTTAGGAAAATACAATTTTAAACGGGATTATAGAGATAATCAAGTACTTATCAGAAAATGAAAATGAATCAAGACTTGAGGATGTCACTGAAATTAGTTCAGATTCAGATTCTGATGAGAGGTGTTCATTGCTTACAACACCATCAACTTCTCACATCGACATGAGAACAAAGTGCACAATAGAAAAGTCAAATTTAACAATGAAAGAGAAATTGGATTTATTCATTAAACATAAAACGAGCATAGACACTGATAACAGTAATATATGTAAATTTAAAAGTGTGAAAGATATAATTAAAAAAGAAATGAATTATTTTGTAGAGCTTAAAAAGATTTTCAATGCTCTAATGACAGTATGTCCAACTAGTATTGATTCCGAGAGAGCTTTTTCTAATGCAGCTGCCATATGTACAAAAATTAGATCTAGATTAGACAATGAGAGCCTAAATGTATTATGTTTTTTAACAGCCTACTTTCAAAATAAAGAAAAACATAATTAATAATCAGCATTATTTCAATGTCTGTTATATCATAATAATTGCTATTACAAGAATGTTGTTTGTCTAAACTGATAAAACACTTGAAAATAAACTGTTGTTCAATAATTCTCTCAGTAATTCAGTTTAGTTTTAAATCATTTGTCAATACGAATTTACCAGTAAATTACTGATAAATTGGTAATTCCAAATATAATTACTGAATTACCAGTAATGTAATACCCAGTAAATTTGCAAACACAAATGACAGCTAACAACAACCCTAAGTATTGTATTGCAGACTGCATGTAGATAAGGTCCTTTTTTTGTGTTCAGAAGGAATAGTGGAAAGTGCTCTTTTTATGTGGCTAACAACGTATTTGAATTCTGCAGATGTATAGCCTGCATTACATATTATAACTGATAATAACTGAAACTCATTGTCAAATGCTGCCTGACTAGAGAAGAAGACAAATTCCCAGTGTATGAGAGCCATTATGATAGAATGTATGCACTGGAGGGGTTGATGAAATTATATGGGGCAAGGCACTGAATTTATGGAATACAGAAAACACAATTTCACATGGTGATTTGTATATATGTAGATCCAAGAACAATATTTTAGCATTAACTTCATAATGTGTGGTTAATGAATTAGAAGAGTAAACCAAGAACAACATTTCTATAAATATTAATAGTTCTTCCTCTGAGCTTTCCCAAACAATTAAGACATCATCTACATATCATATGTAAAGGAGAGGGTATTGCATAGCAAGTGAAAATTTAAAATGTTTGTTTCAATGTTCAGCTAGTGTGGCAGAGAGAGGTGAGCCCATTGGTATGCCTTGCTTTTGGATGTAGATGTTGCTGTCAAAATGAAAGTAATTATTTTCAGCAATGAATAGCAGTGCCTCATACAAATCAAACTTGTGGAAGCAAGAAATTCTTCCTTAATAAGCATGGTGTTCACTAGCACAATAACTTTGAACTGCAGTACCAAAGGATACAATGATGCTACATTGATTTTGTAAAAACAATATGCTTGCATGAGGAGTGGTGCAAGAGTGGCAGTATGAATTGATCTTGCTTCAAATACAGAAGTTATCACAAAATGTGACATATGAAGAAGGGAGAGAGCTAAGTCTTTCAGCAAACACCTTCTCCAATTAATATGTTGGATGTGAGTGCTTGTTGACCAGAAGTTGTAGAGGCTATGTGGGTTAATGTGTTTTGATCTTAAGAATAGCCTGAGACACACCACATTTTTAGGAGGAGAAAGCAGTCTTGTTAAGGAAGATAGAACACCCAATAATGCCATCACCTTTTGCGCTCTTCTTAGAATTGTTAGTGTTGGATCTTCATTTAGTAGAACCAATCCGGATTGTAGACGGAAGTCATTATTTTTACTCATCACATACTTCTGTTCTTTGTCCAAGATCAACAACTCATCTATATTATTCAGAAAATGTCTGATATACCAACTATTTTTAAAAAACGTCACAGGCACATGTGGGGGTCTTTGGGCAGTAAATTTTTGTGAATAGTGAAAGCTCCAATATGGATTACAGTTTGGCCTGTTGAGTAAGTGTTATGATTGCCATGATGGAAGAGATTAGTTGTCTATAGTCTCTCCTTGAAACTGGGATGAATTTTGGCCCAAGCTGAAGAATATGATAAACTGTGTTTGGAACTGCAATGTTTGCATAGTTGTAGTACATAACTGCCTCTGAGATTTTATGAATTGCTGGGAAAATTGTAGCAAGCATCTGAATTTTCTGTTTAGCTTTCTTCTTGTGTGGAACAATGTTCTATGAGTGATGGAGTGAATCTTTTCCAGTTGAATATACAGGATCATTGGCTCACATACTTCATGAAGCACAAATGTGCAACATACATTTTGTTCAGCATCAACAATTGATCTTCTTTTGTCTCTAATTAGTTTGGCTAAGAGTTTCCATTCTACCTGTGGTGGCATGAATCATATACAAAATAGAAACAAATTATATTTCAGTGAAATACATTTAGGAACGACTCCATATTATTGCCATTGTAGCAGGAACCAGAGTTGTGCCTATTGTTTTAGCCACTGTTCATTGAATTTTAGCAGTGTAAAGAAATTCTTCCTCACAGTCACTTCAAAAAAAGCATGTTGCTATGACAGCCATCACAATACAATCTAACAAAATTGCTTTGAATAAAGTTAAAAACAAGCTCTATTATTGATATATAGCCATCTTATGGAAAAACTGAACAACTTTTCGGTCAATCCCATAGATACACTCATTTACTGTATATTCAAAGAACATTCTTTAAATATATACATAAATACAGATACATAAAAATATACTTCTATAATCTTATAACTAGGTTCTTTAAAATTATATTTTTGTAAGTTCTACAAAAATTTTACAAAAATCAATACATACTTCTACAGGAGTTATTGCTTTTCCACAAGCAGCACATTTTGGAGCAAACATCCTAAAATTAAATGAAAATTTCAAATATTTAAAATTCTCATAAATAATTTTAATAAACATTATCTTTTTATTAAAAATCAATAATATACTTGTGATAATCATTGACACAATAAACTTTATTATCCATGTCAATTGTGAAAGGTACACCATCAAGACATTCATTGCACATGCAACAGCGAAAGCAACCTGGATGGTATGATTTACCCATTGCTTGTAATATCTGAGAAGAAAAAATTATTATTAATTAATCATTTAATATTCATCTTATTGTTTCAGTTTAGTTTTTTTAAATATTTAAACTTTTCCAAATTTCTCTGTGATACAATTACAATTTATGATTCAAAATTTTTCCAACATATATTTATATAAACTTTTTAAATTATTGTAATTTCTTGTGTGAATAAAGTCAATTTGACTATCCAAAAATGAGTATAGATTATCTTTTGATTTTAAATTACAGTCATTAACTTAAGTTTAGCCAAAGAAAAAGCTGTTAAGAGGATGCATAAATATTGTGAAAAATCTTTTATGTGCCATACATATTCATCTGCCTTTATGTGATTTTTCAGAAACCACTAAAGACACATATACCTATCCTTTATCTTGGTACATGACAACTTGGTAATGGTCAATCTAATAATACCAACTCAGTAACTGTCAACTCAGCAATAGTCAACTTGGCAACAAAAGTTATTTTGAAGATTATAACAGAATATTTTTAATCCAACACCATCCAACAGCAGAGAGAAACTTTTTCAAGCTTGGATGTTCAGACATTAGTAGTCTTGTATCTTTTTATTCAATGATAATTTCAGTCACATTTATAAAAATAAATTTTATTAATTTATCAAGTTATTTTACCAGAGTGCAAGGAATAATATTAATATTTGTTGCACTATTGCAATACTGTTAATACAATACTACATTATTGCATTAGAAATTTACAAACCAATATTTTATATATCTTTGCAATCATTGCAAATTCTGCATTTGAAAGGAACAAACAAAGTGGAAATGTTCATATTTCAACGTTGTCTTGACCAATGCTTGCATACATCTTAACACTTAAAATTTCACTTTTATATTTCAATTTTACTCTACTTATATTTTTACATATTTTGTTCCTCTTTCTATTAATCCATACTAGGTAGCCTAAAAGTTTAATTCATGTTAATTTGCTTAAAATTAAAATTTAAAAAATTTTTTAAAAGCAAGCAAATTTATAAAACAAAAATTAATGAAATTACTAAAAAAATTAAAATAAATTTAAATTTGATATTCTTTTGTGTGAAACAATACTAACAATTTCTGAAGTTAGTTAAGTTGCAAAATAAAAAAGAGTTGCAATTAATTAAAAAGATTGTAATTAAGGGTTTAAAAAATGCAGGTAAAATTAAATAGATAATAATAAATAAATATTTATTAAAAATAATTATAAAAACTAAAACTAAATTAATACTAAATAAATTAAACCAAAAATTAATTAAAACTAAAAATTTAAAAATAACAATTAAAACTTTTGCCTTTACACCAAAACCAAAATTAAAAATAAAATCAAAACTAATTAAAATCAAACCAATTGAAAATGAAAACATTTTAAAAAACTGTGTAAAAGCAGTTTTGAAATTTTCAAATTATAAATAAAATTATTTTTAAATTTACTGCTGTGCATTTAGAGTTAACCCTCCATTACAAATCTCTTAATTACAGTGTAGAATGTTGATAAAGCATGATAATGTGAAAAATGTATCTGTAATCTCTATGTACAATTTAGTCTCTATGGGGTGACACCACAATGAGATCTCGCACCACCTCAAATCTTCTTAGGGCAGCCTCTGGTTCGGCCTGTGAAAAAAGTTTTCTTTCCAATTCGGCCCGGGGGCAAAAACTGTTGGCCACCCCTGGTCTAGGGTCCATTCATATCATTTATTTGATAAGCAAGTAAAAACCGTAGACTTCTCTAAATGCATTTTTAATATCACAATTACATTCCGAATTGCTAGCCACGATATAAGGGCTACAATTAAAAATAAAATAATAAAAACTTACTTGGTGAAATAAAATGTGTGGTGGATGTACCAGTACATACCTGGTACAAAATATTCTTTAATTGTATGAACATACTTTTAAATAAAATTATAATTAAATATAGCTTTGTAAAGAAACGTACTGTACATAAAAATATAAAATATTCTTTACTTTTTAAATCTTAAAACAATGCACTTAGTCAAATAGTCCCTACAAGTGGCTAATGGATGGAATCGAAGATGGTTGCAAAGCGTGCATACATGCGGACTGCCAAATCCCCAGGGTGCCAATACCAGTCAATGTCAAATACCTCTTTTGTTACATTACTAGTATATCTCAAAGGACGTGACAGGGCTGTTGTAGATTTTAAACGTTTCTCACCATAGCTATAAAAATCTAAATATGTTAAACTTACTGTAATAGTCATTTGTTTTCTAACTACAGGTAACCCCCGTATAACATGGCACTTCTATAGCATGGATTCGCTCTAACACGGTTCGAGAATTGGTACCATCCCCCGTATAACACGGTACTTTTATAGCACGGATTCACTCTGACACGGTTCGAGAATTGGGTAAAACCCTCGTACAACAGGAAATGTAATAAATTTTTACATACTTAA